CAAGGATACTGACCTGAAATTTTGTTGTTGTTACCGTGTCTCTGCCAGGTTTTGGTCTCATAAAATGAGTTAGGGAGGAGTCCTCCTTCTTCTATTGTTTGGAACAGTACAGAAGGAATGGTACTAGCTCCTCTGTGTATCTCTGGTAGAATTCAGCTGTGAATCCATCTGGTCCTGGGATTTTTTTGGTTGGAAGGCAATTAATTACTGCCTCAATTTCAGAACTTGTTATTGGTCTGTTTAGGGATTAGACTTCTTCTTGGTTTAGACTTGGGATAGTATGTGTGTCTAGAAATTTACCCATGTCTTCTAGATTTTCTAGTTCATTTGTGTAGAGGTATTTATAGTATTCTTTGATGGTAGTGTTTATTACTCTGGGATCAGTGGGGATATCCCTTTTATCATTTTTTTATTGTATCTGTTTGATTCTTCTCTCTTTTCTTCTTTATTAATCTGGCTAGTGGAGTATGTATCTATTTTCTTGATCTTTTCAAAAATACCAGCTCCTGGCTTCATAGATTTTTTGGAAGGGTTTTTGTGTCTCTGTATCCTTCAGTTCTGCTCTAATCTTAGTTATTTCTTGTGTTCTGCTAATGTTTGAATTTGTTTGCTCTTGCTTCTCTAGTTCTTTTAATTGTGATGTTAGGGTGATTTTGATCTTTCCTGCTTTTTCTTGTAGACCTTTAGTGCTATAAATTTTCCTGTAAACACTGCTTTAGCTGTGTCCCAGAGATTCTGTTATGTTGTGTCTTTGTTCTTACTGGTTTCAAAGAAGTTATTTATTTCTGCCTTAATTTTGTCATTTACCCAGTAGTTATTTAGGAGCAGGCTGTTCAGTTTCCATGTAGTTGTGTGGTTTTGAGTCAGTTTCTCAATCCTGAGTTTTAATTTGACTGCACTGTGGTCTGAGAGACTGGTTGTTATGATCTCTGTTCTTTCTCATTTGCTAAGGAGTGTTTTATTTCCAATTATGAAGTCAATTTTAGAATAAGTGTGATGTAGTGCTGAGAAGAATGCATATTCTGTATATTTGGTGGGGAGGGTTCTGTAGACATCTATTAGGTCTGTCTGTTCCAGAGCTGAGTTCAAGTCCTGAATATCCTTGTTACTTTTCTGTCTCACTGATCTAATATTGACAGTGGAGTGTTAAAGTTTCCCACTATTATTGTGTGGGAGTCTAAGTCTCTTGCAGGTCTCTAAGAACTTGCTTTATGAATCTGGGTGGTCCTGAACTGGGTGCATATATTTAGGATAGTTAGCTTTTCTTGTTGCATTGATCTTGTTACCATTATATAATGCCCTTTTTGTCTCTTTTGATCTGTGTTGGTTTAATGTCTGTATTATCAGAGACTAGGATTGCAACTCCTGCTTTTTTTTCCTTTCTGCTTTCCATTTGCTTGTTAAATATTTTTCCATTCCTTTATTCTGTGCCCATGTGTGTGTTTGCAAGTAAGATGGGTCTCCTGAACACAGTACATGGACAGGTCTTGACTCTTTATCCAATTTGCCAGTCTGTGTCTTTTAATTGGGGCATTTAGCCTGTTTACATTTAAGGTTAATATTGCTATGTGTAAAATCTGATTCTGTCATTATGTTGCTAGCTGGTTATTTTGCCCATTAGTTGATGTGGTTTCTTCATAATGTCAGTGGTCTTTACAATTTGGTATGTTTTTGCAGTGGCTGGTACTGGTTGTTCCTTTCTATGTTTAATGCTTCCTTCAGGAGCTCTTTTTAGGCAGACCTGGTGGTGACAAAATCTCTCAGCATCTGCTTGTCTGTAAAGGATTTTTTTTCCACTTAACTTATGAAGCTTAGTTTGGCTGGATATGAAATTCTGGGTTGAAAATTCTTTTCTTTAAGAATGTTGAATATTGGCCCCTACTCTCTTCTTGCTTGTAGGGTTTCTGCCTAGAGATCTGCTGTAAATCTGATAGGCTTCCCTTTGTGGGTAGCCCAACATTACTCTCTGGCTACACTTAACATTTTTCCTTCATTTCAACCTTCATGAATCTGATGATTATGTGTCTTGGGGTTGCTCTTCTCGGGGAGTATTTTTCTAGTGTTCTCTGTATTTCCTGAATTTGTATGTTGGCCTGCTTAGGTAGGTTGCGGAACTTATCCTGGATAATATCCTGAAGAGTATTTTCCAACTTGGTTCCATTCTCCCTGTCACTGACAGGTACACCAATCAAACCTAGGTTTGGTCTTTTCACATATTTCCATATTTCTTGGAGGCTTTGTTCGTTCCTTTTCATTCTTTTTTTCTCTAATCTTGTCTTCATGCTTTATTAAGTTGATCTTCAATCTCTGATATCCTTTCTTCTGCTTGATCGATTCGGCTATTGGTAATTGTGTATGCTTCACGAAGTTCTCGTGCTGTGTTTTTCAGTTTTATCAGGTCATTTATGTTCTTTTCTAAACTGGTTATTCTAGTTAGCAATCCTCTAACCTTTTTTCAAGGTTCTTAGCTTCCTTGCATTGGGTTAGAACATGCTCCAGAGGAGTTTTTTATTGCCCACCTTCTGAAGCCTACTTCAATTTGTCAAACTCATTCTTCGTCCAGTTTTTTCTCTTGCTGGTGAGAAGTTGTGATCCTTTGGAGGAGAAGCGGTGTTCTTGTTTTTGGAATTTTCAGCCTTTTGGCACTGGTTTCTTCCCTTTGTCATGTACTTATCTATCTTTGGTGTTTAATGTTGGTGACCTTCAGATGAGGTTTCCTTTTTGTTGATGCTCTTCCTTTCTGTTTGTTATTTTTCCTTCTAACAGGCCCCTTTTCTGCAGGTCTGTTGGAGTTTGCTGGAGGTCAACTCCGGATCCTGTTTGCCTGTATCACCAGTGAAGGCTGCAGAACAGCAAAGACTGCTGTCTGTTCTTTCCTCTAAAAGCTTCTTCTCAGAGGGGCACCTGCTAGATGCCAGCCAGAGCTCTCCTGTATGTCTGTGGACCCCTGCGGGGAGATGTCTCCCTACCAGGAGGCACAGGGTTCAGGGACCCAATTGAGGAGGCAGTCTGTCCCTTAGCAGAGCTCAAGCATTGTGTTTTGAGAACTGCTGCTCTCTTCAGAGCCAGCAGGCAGGAACATTTAAGTCTGCTGAAGCTGTGTCCACAGCCATCCCTTCCCCCCAGGTGCTCTCATAAAAGCATATATTCTTTAATGAATAAAACTCTGTTATCTTATTAATAGTTTATTTACTAAAGTAAAAACAGTGCTTCACCTTTAAGGTGATGCCACTTAAAGGTGAGTGAACCTGCTTTTCTTTTCTTTTTTTTTTTTTTTTTTTTTGGGGAGGGGGAGGAAGGCAGGAAGGAAGGGAAGAAGGACGGTAGGGAGGAAGGAAGGGATGAAGGAAGGAAGGAAGGAAGGAAGGAAGGAAGGAAGGAAGGGAGGAAGCGGGGAGGGAGGGAGGGAGGGAAGGGAAGAAAGGAAATCAAGCAATGAAAGAGACATTGCCGACCTGGATCTAGAGGTTTACAAATTGATTTCTTTTTTTTTTTGAGAGAAGGAAAGAAAAAAAAAATAAGTAAAGGAGAGGAAGAAAGAGGAAGAGAAAGAGGGAGAGTAAATGGAAATATTGCTTTATTTTGAAAAAAATTGGGTATTAATAATGGCCAATCAATGTTTCATTTAAACTAATGGGTAGGTGTGATGTGGTATTGACAAGAATGTATATTTTGTGTACTTGAAGTGGAGAGCTCTATAAATATTTATTAAGTTTACTTGTTCTGGATCTGAGTTCGAGTCCTTGATATCCTTATTAATTTTCTGTCTCATTGAATCTAAGTCTCCTATCTGGGTGTTAGGATCGTTAGCTCTTGTTGTTGCATTGATCCTTTTACCACTATATCTTTGTTGCTTTAAAATCTATTTTATCCGATACAAGAATTGCAACTCCTGCTTTTTATTTATTTATTATTTATTTTTGCTCTCCATTTGGTTGGTAAATCTTTCTCCATCCCTTTGTTTTGAGTCTTTGTGTATCCTTGCATGTGAAACAGGTCTGGATGTAACATGCCGTTGGGTTTTGGCTGTGTCTTTTGATTGGGAATTTAGTCAATTTAAATTTAGGGTTACTGCCATTTGATGTTGACTGGCTGTTTTATCCATGTGTTGGTGTAAATTCTTCTTTATGTTGGTGCTCTTTACTTTTTGGTGTATTTTTAGAAAGGCTAATACTGGTTGTTTCTTTCTGTGTGTAATGCTTCTTTCAGAAGCTCTTGTAAAGCAGGCCTGGTGGTAATAAAATCTCTGAGTTCTTGCTTGTTCATAAAAGATTTTATTTTTCCTTCAGTTGTGAAGCTTAGTTTGGCTGGATATGAAATTCTGGGCTGAAGGTTCTGTTCTTTGAGGATGTTGAATATTGGCCCCCACTCTCTTCTGGCCTGTAGAGTTTCTGCTGAGAGATCTGCTGTAAGTCTGATAGGCTTGCCTTTGTGGGTTATCCGACCTTTCTCTCTGGCTGCCCTTAGTATCCTCTCCTTCGTTTCAACCCTGGTGAATCTAACGATTATGTGCCTTGGGGTTGCTCTTCTTGAGGAATATCTTTGTGGTGTTCTCTGTATTACCTGGGGTTGAATGTTGACCTGCTTTGCTAGTTTAGGAAAATTTTCCTGAATAATATCCTGAAGGGTATTTTCCAGCTTGGATTCATTCTCTCCGTTGCATTCAGGTACACCTATCAAACGTAAATTTGGTCTTTTCACATAGTCCCACATTTCTTGGAGACTTTGCTCATTCCTTTTTATCCTTTTTTCTCTAATCTTTTCTTCACGTTTTATTTCATTAAGTTGGACTTTGACCTCTGATATCCCTTCTTCTGCTTGAACAATTCGAGTGTTTAAACCTGTGCATACTTCTCGGAGTTCCTGTATTGTATTCTTCAGTTCCATTAATTCACTCATACTCCTCTCTAAGTTGTCTATTCTCAATAGGATTTCATCAAGCCTTTTGTCAAAGTTCCTAGTTTCTTTACGTTGGGCTACAACATGGTCTTTTAACTCACCGAATTTTGTTATTATCCATTCCTTGAAGAGTGATTCTGTCATCAGGAGGCGCTCGTTCTCCATCAAGCCTTGTTCCATTGTTGATGTGGAACTGTGATCATCTTTAGAGGGAGAGGCGTTCTGACTTTGAGTATTCTCAGCTTTTTTACGCTGGTTTCTTCCCGTCATTGTAAATTTATCCTCCTCTCGTCTTTGAAGTTACCAACTTTCAGATTAGGTCTCTTGAGTGGACGTCCAGGTTGTTAGTTCCCAGGGCCAGAGCAGCGGCGTTAAAACTGATGGTGCTTTTCCGCCCAGGATTCTCCTGTCGGGCTTCCTTCTTGTTTCCGTAGTAGGCGACTCTGCCTTCCCAGGGCTCCAAACCTCGGTCAGAAGGGGAACCCGTCCCGTTTACTCTGCTCCGAGAGCTGCCGCGCCGAGGTGCCGGCGGAACCGCTGCGCCGACCACGAGAGTCGCGCTGGCGACCCGTGTGTTTCCACCACTGGGGGATCTTCTGCTCCGTGAGCGACCAGACTTTGTCTGAAAGTGTGGCGTCCTCTAGTTCTCCGCGCCTTCCCTGAGAGCTGCAATCCCGGGATGTTAGCGATCGGCCATCTTGGATCGTTCCCCGTGAACCTGCTTTTCTACCAGAGAAGACAGATATCGTTGAGTGCTGGCAGGAGGTGGCTCACATGCTAGAGTTCAAACAATCTGTGCATAGCCCAGAGCCTGCTTCTCAGAGAAGACATTTGTCTTTGTTCTCTTACTTGCTGCTGAGTAGCTAATCTTATAGACTACATATTTCAATTTAAATGGACCCACAAAATTATTGCCATGTTTCTTAGTTTAAATGAGTCTGGGCCCGTGTGGTGGCTCACACCTGTAATCCCAGCACTTTGGGAGGCTGAGGTGGGTGGGTCACTTGAGGTCAGGAGTTCCAGACCAACCTGGCCGACATGGTGAAACCTAGTCTCTACTAAAAATATGAAAATTAGCCAGGTGTGGTGGCACACCCTTGTAATCCCAGCTACTCAGAGGTTAAGACATGAGAATTGCTTGAACTGGGGAGGAATAGTTTGCAGTCAGCCAAGATTGTGCCAGTGCACTCTAGCCTGGGCAACAGAGTAAGACTCTGTCTCAAAAAGACAAACAAAAATGAGCCTGATACACTGTTTCTCAATCATGTCATGTGTCTTCATGTTTTGTAATTATTGGCATAAGATTTCCTAGCCACTTTGTTAAAGGAATTTTGAATACTTACTTGATCCAGAGGGTTTAGATTCAAATTAGGCTAGCACTGAAGGAGATACTGGGCATTGTGTCTTAAGCAGCCATTTCTGCCTTCTTTGCTGAGAAGGCCTTGATATTGTTCAGGTGTTCATGTGATATTGGGGTAAATTCTGATCAGTTTTACTGTCAGTTTACTGGACAGAAACAACTGATCAGTTATAGCTGTCCAGTTTTTGTTGGCAGTGATTGGTTTAGAGGTGGGCACATGTCTTTGTTTTCTGCAGCTATAACCAAATACCACAGACGTTTATTTGGCTCACAGTTCTGGCATCTGGACAGTCCAACTGCACGGCACTGGCATCTGGCAAGGGCCTTCTGCTACATTAACCCATGACGGAAGGACAGGAGAATGCATGAGACAGAGAGGGAATGAGAACTGCTGAAAATACTCCTTTATCATGAGCCCACTCCTGTGATAACTAACCCATTCCTACTCTACCATCATGAATTCATCCATGAGATCAGAGCCATCATGACTTAGTTACATTTTAAAGGGCCCACCTCTTAATATTACGATGGCAATTGACTTTAAATGTTAGTTTTGGTAGGGAAATTTAAATCACAGCAGCATGTGACAGTTCTGAAGCAAAGGCAGTTAGCTGGAGACATTACAGACTGTATGTATCTGATTATTTTTCTGTCCCATTGGTTAGAATGTTCCTTGAGGGTAATGTCTTCAGTGTTTCATTACCATATCCCAAGAAGCATATAAATAGGGACTGATACTTGCTCACTAAATATTTATTAAATAAATGAATAAAAAATGCCATGAAGGTCTTGTTTAACTTGATAACTATAAACACTGAGGCTATGAGAATTTAAAGAAACTAGAAATGGCTAGAAAAAGTAAAGATCACTTTTTCTTCACATGAGAAACTAACCTTGAGTTGAGTTACTTTTCTGTCTCTGTTCTACCCTTGATAAAGAATGGACATTGGCTGCACGCCAGGTACCTGGGCTTGGGGGACTTTGTATGAACTGAAATACTTCACAGACAGTTTTGGGCTGTCCTGAGCATGCTGACTCTTGTAACTGAGCATGTGCCTGTGGGAGCCACTGTGCAAGGATTACGGTAAGAGATACTGGTTCTTGTGGAGCATGGGGCATTTAGCTCGCAAGGGAGTAAGACTCAGACTTGGCAGGTGGTATGAGTCTTATTCTTTTGCACCTGTGTTGTAATTCAGACAGCTCCTGGACAACTATCTGAACTGCTATGAGAATGACTTGCACTGAAGATAAATGCCTCATGCTGCCTTGCTAGCCTGCTGTTGTTTCCTGGCATGTATCCAGCATGCCAAGTGCGGCCTTATGATTGTTGTGTGACTTAAATGTTTACCTGAACAAGCTACTGAGCCTTACAATGGCAGGTCAAGACTATAAACCCAGATCTTATCATAAACCCTGTGATGATTCCACTGTCTGTTCATAAAATAACAGCAGCTAGGTATAGCATACTTGAGACAAATTACGGCAAGAATTTTGATAATTCTTATGAGTGAGAAACATAGTCCTTGGGCTCTTATTAAAGGTAAGTCTTAAGTATTTTCTAAATCTTTTATAAAATATTTATGCAGATTAAAAAAATTAAATCCCACTAATGAAAAAGAATCTATGATCAGTAAAATACATATCCTAATAGGAAAAATATGAAAATAAGCAATAATAGCAACAGTCCTCTTAGTTGTCTGTAGGGACCATGAGTAAAGATTCATGTCCCTTGTCTATAACTGCAGGGTGCGAATAAATAAATGATTTTTGTAGTCAATTAGAAGTGGAATAATACATTGAAAAATCTATGATGAACATTAAAACACAAAAGATTAACTTTAGAGTCTTAAAAAAACCAAAGATTTGAAAAATACATGCCTGAGTTAGCATCAACTGTAGAGGTGCTAGATGCTTAAGATTTTCACCCCACTGAAAAAGATAAAATTTTAAAAGATGTACTTGAAAATATTTTAGGTAACAAAGGCGTGAAACATAATGAAGAGTTTAGAAAAATTCCTTCATAGTTTTATAATTAATATACTCAGTGAGAATCACCTCCAATGATATTGAGGGCATCTGCTTTATGCTGAAAACTTCAAAATGATTATTACTCAGTTTTCCCATGGCCAATAAAATATGCTAAAAAAAATAAGCAATCAAAAGTTCACCACTAAAATGTATAGTGTGCTTTCACTTGTCGGCATGTGAAGTCAAGGGGAGACTCCTCCTTTAAACCACTAGAAAACAACACAAAATATTTGAGACAACTGTTTTCAGACACTGGACAACAGCACTATAGACTATGATTTCTGGGAGAAGGGAAATAAGGTGAGCCCTGCCGGTGTCCAGTTTACTGCGTGGAGCCATTTTTGAAACCAGTGGAAATAACAGCATTTCCTGGAGCTCACACAGAGGTGGGAATAAGTTCATATTCCCACCAGCCTAAGAGGAAATGCCTCATAATACACAGGATGTCAGGGAGAGTCCTTGGAAGGGTATCAGTGGTAGCAATAAACTAGCTTTGTCAAAACAGCTATTACATAGAATATTATACAGAATACAGCCATTATAAATAAACTCCATATTAAAAGGCAGGTATTCCAATTAAAAGGCGGGGTGTCATTACCTTTACTCAGGACACTGAGTGCTTTACTTAGCTTTCTAGTAACTAGGCTTAAAAATCATGTGCTGTGACTTTTCTATTTTCAAATATTTTAGCTATTCTGTTAAGAACTGTCTTATTGTATTGCTAAATTAACAATTACGTTAACTAAAACTGACTTCATTCTTTATCTTGCAAACATGTACATATGCTTTCTTTTATGGCTTTTCCTAAAAGCTTTACTTTAGTTCTGAGGTTCTATAAACTTAGTGCTTATGTTAACAAAGTTTTATGTACATCTTAAACATTGATAAAAATGTACAATGTTGAACTAGCCTTTCAACTACTAGAATGAGATTTTAAAAACTGACACTTGCATAATTGTAGAGTGTTTTTACATTGATCTTTGCATAAGATAATTGGCTCTATGTTTGGCTTGTGGGACTTAAATCCTTGAATAACAATAAATGGTATATATGCATCAAAAAATAGGACATACAGCTTTCCTGGCTTTTCACACTTTTTAGAATCAAATAGATCTTAGACTAATAAACATGGTAGGTTTCCAGAAAGATTTATTTTTGTAATGACATTGTTATTGGTGATCCAGCATGATTCTATCATGGTGGCTTTACCTATTAATCAAATTAAACAGCAGTAGTACTGAAGGAAACCAGAATGTTACCTCAAAATATGTCTTTTTGACATAAAAATTATTTTTGAGCTAAAGCCAATAAGCAGCAGCAAATGGAAGAAAAGCTCTCTATCCTCCTCTTCTTCTGCTTAAAAGTAGGATATAAATTTTCCTTTAGTGAAGAGGACTCTAGATGCTTATCAGCCCCGAGATGGCCCCAGAGGAATCTGCAGTACTCCATGAGTTTCCTACCATATATATATATATTTACATTCCCACAGTTTACCCTCTTTGTAGCCAAAAACTGCTTTCCTATGTCCAGTCTTTATCTACAAATTGATTGTTCTTTGTTGAAGATGGTTTGTGAGCCAGAGTTCTAAGCCACTGTTTTGAGTTACTTTTTGTTGACATCTCTTCTGTGATGTGTGCTGTATACATGGATAAACCTGTTTTTCTCTTGTTAATCTGTCTCTTGCTACAGAGGCCTGTCCCAACAAAATCTCATATGGATTGAGAAAAATTTTTTTTCTTCCTGACAGTTTTGGCAATGCAGATGGGACTTTCTGGGATACACATTCACTCTGGAAACTACAGATGAAATCCTAGCAAAACTGGCAGAAGCTGGTAAAAGGTAAGAATTCTTACTAAACTCAGCTCTCCCAGATATCTGTCTGTAGTAGCCAGTCAAGAGGTGAAGGTGAAATTTTTCCTGGTCCTTCCTTTCCATATTTAGATTGATAGGAGAAAAATATTGTAAAATTATTTGAATTTGTGACTCTTGTGGGTTTGGTTTTGGCTACCTATTGGTTATTATCTTTAGCCTCCTTGAAAAGGTCATTATTTTCCGTTGTCTTTTGCATCATTTGTCATAAGGAGGAGAATCACAGGGTAGAATACAGACATAGGTTATAAAAGCCTGTTGTTCCGGGCACCGTCTCAGGCTGGTGAGTTCACAGTTCTTACTAGACTGGTGTCTGTTTAAACAAACCTTGCTGTGGGTTCCCAATAAGAAAAGGATGACATTCACCTTTTGTCTTGATTTACATCCTGAGAACTTGGCTTTTATGACTGCTAAGACCACTCTCTCTGGTCTCTGCCAGGTGGGGGCATAAGTGTTGGCTTGTATGAGG